ATCTTCGGACTGTCTAAATGATACACAAGAACTTGACGGCAGAGACTCTGAGTCCACATTCTCGTGCTCAAGGCATGACAAATTATACGGTTTGTGGAGCGAGAGAACTGAATTGTATGGGAAAAGTTTGTGTAACACCAAATAACTCACTACAAAAGGTCTCCGTAATTATGGTTTTAGCAACAAAACTGTCACGCTCGCTCGCTACCAAAAATCGTAAATTTCCCTGAGACGTTTTCAGACGAGGTAACTTGTCACGAGCTTGTCACGAACTTGTCACGCAATATTAACGGACACGTTCCGAACAATGAGTCGACGAGCCCATCGTCCCAATTTGTTTAAAGTGATCAGTCCTTTAAGCTTTTTTTTTTTTCTGGAAGGACTATTTTTATTAAAAAGGAATGAGTTTCCATAAGTTTCTTTCAAGGAGGGCGGGAAGGAGTAGGATGCCGGCAAAAGGAGAAACACAAGAACACAAATGGCAGTAAAGACTCGGTAAAAGGAAAACAAATAGATATGATGAATAACGCAAAATAAAGTGCAAAAAAAGGAAAACGGAATGCCGTATCGGCCTAGCGCAGAAGGAAGCGAGAAAGAGACAGAATAGGGAATGAGAAGATTTCCCTCAGAGGCCGCGATCAAAGAAAACACAAAAAAGAGAAAGCAAAACGAAACACTGTCCCAATACGAGTAATAGGAAATATATAATGAACGAACTAGGAAAGATATTAAGCTAGGTAATAACATCAACAGGGATTATAACATGCAAAGTAAACATTGAAACATGATTAACCCAAGATCTTTAATCTTTTCTCTCTAACTGTGATTATTTGAAATAACACTGATGGAAAAAAATATTTAATTTTTTATGACATTAAAATAACTCAAGAAACTTTATTCCGCTCAATTAACGAGGATTTCACACCAGGAATGAATATACGTAAAAACTAAGTAGATTAAAACGAAAGAAAGCCAATCGTGATCCATTCAAAAAGCAAAAGTCAAATTAATTTGCTATAATAACATAAACAGAAAGGTGCATCTAACAATTTCAAAATGCATGCAACATTAATATTGTGATAAGGAATATCGTCAGTACTTGTAAGAGTAATGTGACTAATTCCTTATTCTTTCTTCTCTGCTGCCCTTATGACAAACAACTGTTGCATAAAAGAGAGCAAGGGAGATCCTTCTCAAGCATTCAAGAGGTAATACCATCCCAATTCTCTTCAACTGGAGCCTTCATGCTAACAGCAGTAATTGTGCGAAGGCTAATAGTTAAAAATCGCTGTGCATACTTTTTCTAAGACAACAGAAATCTATTTAATTCTACCTCCGCCAAGAACTGGATGCTAAAGCGTAGCTTCGTCATAATGTTAAAAAAATTTTAGTTATTGCCACAATTTATACAAATCAGATTTTTATGGTGACCCTATCCTTTTCCTACCTCAAGAGAGATCGCAAGGCAAACTAAAGGAATATAAAAGGTGAATTCAAACTTACAAGTTTCCCATGGCAGTGTAGATGGAAAAACACGCACTTTCGTCGGTTTTTGGGAGGGAAAATGAAAAAAAAAAATGAAAAAAAAACCGTTTGTGCCAAGCTTGCGACTAAAGGAATTGAAAGAATCTCTCTTTATTCCAACATCGAGCCCCAAAAAAAGCCGATAGGGATGTTGTGGAAATATCGACTCCGGCATGTTTTTTGTAGCTAAAGCTCTTAAGAAATAAACAAAGAAAAATGCAGTTGCCAGGGAAACCTAATTCACTTTCGCTACAGCATGTTACTATCAATGTCTTCTGTGCTATTCTACAAGATTCACGTAACTAACTCGATCAGTCAACCCGGATTCTTTCGCCTAGGGCTCTGTCTTCTTCTCCTCAATGGTGGCATAACGATTTTCAGAATCTTCGATATTTGTAGGATCTTTAGTGAATGGCACACCATAGGTTGGGTTACTCAGAAAAGTTTTTTCGGTTGCTTGCTGTGTGGCGTTGTTGTTGTCCAAGGATCCAACCCCGTTGACTTGCTCTTGTCTGGATGTCACCGATCCACTTCTGTGGTGGATGGATTCATACGTCGTGTTTTCCCCGACATACCCTGGGTTTTCAAATGTAACCATAGAATTGGCTCTGGGGTGCACAAAGTCACTGTCCAAATATATTTCGTCTGTTCTTTTCCCTGTATGATTTCTTTTCCTGTAAGACAAATCGGACATATCTTAAGAAAAAAGGAAACAACCACAACAACAGCCGGCCATTCTTCATAAATGACCTTCTGTCATGTTTCTTCTCTCCATTTTCAAGTATAGAAATAAATGAAATTTCCAATGCAGTTGCAGTTTATTGGGACGTCTCCGAGCTCCAAGGGACTACGTCGCGATGTTTCGTGTTATTTTTTCTGTAGCAGGAGTAAGTGATTTATAATAGAATGAGACAATAAAATACTGAAAAGCTTTCTAAAGTACAATGAGACTCCAAAGCGCAAGAAGGTGCAGAATGGAATATAAAAAGGAAGGAGAATGACAAGGACGAAAAAGATTAGCAGGATTGTAAATGTCAAAGCCAAAATATGTTGGCGTACTTCAAAATGACTGGTCGATTGACTGATTAATAAAAGAAAGTAACTTCTTTTGAAAGCCTCACCGCATCATTTGGTAAACGAAGAATACCACGATTAGCACCAACAGAACAACAGTGCCTCCTAACCCAGCAACAATTGGCACGTTTAACGTCTCTTTATCCTGAGTAGACCTTTCACTATTTGTTGGATTCTCTACCTGTCTTTTGCCTTGAAAAAAAGGTAGAATGTGATAATCGTTAAAAAGTTTAAAGTTGTCTGTGATACATATCAGGTCCTAAGTTTTGATTGGTGCACAGGCCCTGGTATCTAAGCTCATATACCGCACGTAACTCAAACATGGTATTAAAAAAAGAAACAACTCCTGCAATGTTTGACACAAATGTGGATATATTATATAATAATCGTCGCCAAACTTAGTAAAGTGCATAAAGGGGGCAAGTTTCTAAAGAAACTGTGGTACTACGTCAGTGGGAGAGTATAAAAGGGTAATTTAGTGTGAACAACTGAGTTGAAAACGGAAATTGGCCACCGTAAAGAGTTTAAAGGCTAACGTTTCGAGCATTAGCCCTTCGTCAGAGCGATTGCAATTGCCAATTCACATTTTTAACTCAGTTGTTAACACTAAATTACCTGTTAGTATATAGTGTGCAAGGGAAGGAATCATACCGCTTGGAGCACTTCATATAAAGTCTGTGATATAGGCTTTGTGAAGGAAGGGTGGGCGAAACGAAAATCTATTCTTTCGAAATCGTTAAAACGTTCCGGTAGATATCGAGAATTTTCGGTACATTGACTGAAAATTAGGGTCACACAAATAAGCTAAAGTTAACCACCGAATTGATGACTCAAGAATGGAGGCCAAAAAAAAAGATGTGAAAAAATAAACGTGACTTAAATCGGCGCAAAGTTTTCAAGGCAGCCTTACTTCAATTTTTTATGATAACATATTGAAGGGGTGGCTTACGAGAATTAGCTCAGTTTTCCTTTTGTTTCGGTCATTGACCAAGCTACAAGCTTTGAAATCCCTAAATTTCTGAAACTCTGCATTTATTGATGTAGAAGTCGGAGTCTGGAGACAGAAGTGTGTGGTTCTCCATAGCAAAGGAACCCGGAGGAGATACTAGCTAGTCGTCCATTAACCTACAATAGATCTCAAACTCTAAGGTATGTCTTGCTTTCATATTATTAAAAGAAACTGGCTGACCGCCTTTTTCCAAAGAAGCGCGATTAAGGTTAAAAGTGTTATTACCAATCCTAATGATCGTGCCTCCAATGGCTGCCCCAAGACTTTCTTCACTTTTCTGGAGTATTTGTTCCAGTGTAGCACGAGGTACAGGTTCAGGAACCTGGCCTTCCACAGATGGAAATAAAACAGCTACTTCTACTTTCAAAGTATTTTCCCCACTAATGGAAAGTCCAAGTATTTTAGCGTCGGAAGCCACGAATTTTTTTTCCGAATTAACATCTCGTTTTGACATCCTGCAAATGAATTTTAATTCACACTTATTTAAGGAAAAGCCTAAAATGCGGTGGTAGGGGGAGGGGAGGGGGGTTTGAAAAAATTCGCTGATTGACAGATCTGGTCTAAAGGAGGTGTTGAAGGTGTTGATATTAATAATAAGACTGTCAAAAATTTCCTCTGACGTAAAATTCACGAATATGAGAGCGTTTGTCAATCAGATAAAGGAATTCGTTTCATCTGCATTTTGATTTTTTTTCTCAAGTTTTTTTAAATAAAGAAGGTCAACTCTCCAATGCAAGGAGGGCAAATACATAAACAGATCCTACCATTACCTTGCACATTCCTCATCTCCGCAAAAAAAACCCGTGCAAGCTTTTGCCACTGCAGCTCGGAAGTTATACGTTGTCCATTGTGCCTAAACAGAATTCAATAAAATGAAAATAGGATTGTGCTATCTGGTGAGAAGTTTGTTCAAGATAAACACAACTTGAGGTTTATTTAGCTCCTGGCGCTATTCATTTAGAGTTGTTGTTTGTAGAAAGTGGAGGAGATGAAAGCGAATCCACCGAAACAAACCTATTTGGTGACAGAGCAAAGGATACGACATTGGAAATTCAGTTCCAAGTCCACTTTAAAAAAGCTAAATCTTTTCCAGATCTAGATGCGGTTCGTAAGGAAGCAGTAGCCATTGTTTTTTCTAGAGCTCATACGGTTATTGGATATTCGTCAACCAAATGGGGAATCAGTCATTGTTGAAATTGATGGTCGGGATAACAAAGGAAAAGAAATAAAAAAATGTTGACTTCTTCCACCAATGAAAACTTGATTCACCGTTCTTGCACTTTCTACGGAACGCTTTATGCCTTAAAAGAAATATGCAAGGTTGATTACGCTGGGGGGGAAGGGGGGGCTAGGGGGAAGGGTGTCAGCAAGAAACAAAACGCAGCATCCTTACCTCGTTTTGAAGATTTACCTCTACTTCTACGGCGCTTGAACCTAAAATGAGAACAGCATTCTTAAAAGTACCTCTTGCAATTACAATGATGTTACTGAGAGATATCAAACCTTTCACATGATGTTATGAAGTCCTTCTAACAAGCACTAATTTTATTTCTGGGCAGCTTCTTCACTTTCATTTTGAGTTTTGCAGCTAACTTTTGTATTGATCTAGAACCTGTGTTATGATTTGCATCTTTTGTCCATACTCGTGTTTTCTAACCCTAGTTGATCTTTTATGACAACTGACACAAAGGGGAGTAAGATATCCTTAGTACCTCTCTAGAATAGGAATTCTTACAATCTAGCCTGTAATTTACTCCGTTTTTGGTTGAAAAGTTCTCATTTTCGGCCTGTTCCTGCATAAGTTCTTGCCCAAAATTGTGGTGCATGCGGTAGATCTAAAGACGACGAAAATGCGATTACAGCAGAGCGCGGCCCAGATAGATTACATGTACATCTCTACCATCTTCCCCACATACTAATTCTCTGTGGTGTAAGGGAACAGATGACCTGGTTTAACCAAATCGGCTTGATAAACAAGAGTATAAGCTCAATTTAATCGATTTACGCTTACCAACGTAAACAAGGCAGAGGTCCCAAACATAATACTTCGGACACTCGCAAAAATAACCAGGGATTACACAAGATCCTCCATTTTTACACTTGTTCGAACGACAATCATAAGGACCTGGAGGAGTTGATTGTTGTCCGGTGGACGACTGCTGTGTGGTGGCTGACCGCTGTGTGGTGGATGACTTCTGTCTGGTGGATGACTGCTGTCTGGTGGATGACTGCCGTCTGGTGGATGACTGTCGTGTGGTGGATGACTGTTGTGTGGTGGATAATTGCTGTCTGGTGGATGACTGCTGTCTGGTGGATAACTGCTGTCTGGTGGATGACTGCCGTGTGGTGGATGACTGCTGTCTGGTGGATGACGGCTCTGTGGTGGCTGACTGTTGTGTGGTGGCTGAGTGCTGTGTGGTGGCTGAGTGCTGTGTGGTGGCTGAGTGCTGTGTGGTGGCTGAATGCTGTGTGGTGGCTGACTGCTGTGTTGTTGTGGCTTCAGGCGTACTTGAAGAAGGTGGAGAATAGAGGTGGACTGATTTCGGAGAAAAAAGATTCTGATTAGACATAAATAACAGTAATTCGTCATCTGAGGAAGGGCTAACGCTCGAAACGTCAGCTTTGTAACTCTTTGCGGTGGCCAATTAAAGTTATCAACTCAGTAGATAATGCTAAATTACCCTGTCATAATCTCTCACTGACACAACACCACAGTTTCTTTAGAAACTTACCCCTTTAAATAAAGAATAACTTCCTTTGGGAGGGAAATTCTCATGGACGTTATTTGTTATGAGAGGAAAAAACTTTATGCACTCGACGCTTAAAGAAAACTTGCCCGAAAAAAATTTACGAGTACAGTGTATTTGGCATTAACAATCGGACGGTATGTACTGAGCTTACTCGTCGAGTAAAGAAAGCTGTTGTTCAACTGTCGTTGCTTTGTTTTGTGTGGACCTGACTTGGAAAACGTCTGGCAAGGGTATATTTGACTGAAATTCTCGCTATAGTTAGTCGAAACCAAACGGCCATCCTCAAGTAAACCACTTACCAGAACTAGAGCAATTTTCACCGGGTTGCAGGTAGTCTGGACACGAGCACCGATATCCATCCGGTCTCAAAAGGCACAGGTGAGAACACCCACCATAGGACTTAGAACAGGGGTGATCTGGTGACGAAGAAACTTCAACATAGTCAAGCGCTCATTACCATGACTGATGCAAAGTGACCTGTTTCCTTTTTTTGATAGCTTTTGATTTGATCTCCTCCAAATTTATACGAAAAAGTAGGAGTTCACCTCCAGCTCCTAGCATACCTATGTATACAGTAGTCGGTGCTTGTTAATCATTGATTGGAAACTAAGTTACTAGTTTTCATTCTTTGCCTCAAACCATCATGATAACTTGTATTAACTAAGAGAACATAAGCTTTTGTTGAGCTTTAACCGCGAACTGTATGATTACGGATTTTATTTCAAGGTAGAGCGCAAGATGAGAATCAGTCTACAAATATTCTCAATTATGGAGAATATATATATATTTTTTCATCTTCCTTCTCTGTTTTTTAAAAGCTGATAATTGCACAGAATTGTTTCTGAGTAAAACGCCTTCAGTCGAGTAGATCAGAAGTAAGCAATCCATTATTGATTTTTTCACAGCCTCCGGATAGCTGAAAAAAAAGCAGCCATTGCTTAATGTTGACGGCACTATAGACATCACTTCAAAATGGCTCTAAAGGAGGTGACTCAGAGAAGACAAAAAAGACATAGAGCTAGGGTGTTAGAAGTTGTTTACCTGGGAGAGGTTTATTTCTATCATACGCATGTATATCCATGGGTCGACCAAGGCCCTTGGCAACAACCGTCATATTTGAAAGTGTCTTCTTTTCCGCTCGATTAACAACATCTAACCACCAATCCGTCCAATACAAGTGATCTTCAAACAGCGTCAAACCGAACGGATGTGGTAATTTAGAACCATCTTCCATCAAAGTTGTTATTGTGTGACGTTCCAAATCATAATATTCAAGGGTGTTAAGGTATGCGTCCACCCAGTAGAGCCGATTATTTGCTTCATCTAAAGTGAGACCATTTGGCCAGTATAATCCTCTTTTTACCAATATCTGCCGACTGCTTCCGTCCATGTTAGCAACTTCAATCCTAGCCACAGTACCCCAGTCACACCAGTACATCAACCTTAAACAAAGCAAAAACCAAGTAAGTGGCATATCTATGGCAAATGTTCCCTCTTAAAGACAAAGTGCGCTGATGGCTAAGGAAGAAGAGATTGTGATGACATCTCTTAAACAGCTCCTGTGGTATATTAGTAAAGTGAGACCAAGAGATTATACAGTTGGTTGGGTTAAGTCTCTTGGTAAGACATAACGGCGTGCGAATTTTTTCTTGAAACAAATTGGCACTGATATACCGTTCTGCACACTCTCGTAAGCTGAAACTTGCCTAATAAGAGCAAGGAGCACACCAACTGTTTACGGCTAACGGTTAAAAGTTTGGCCATTTCACCGCTACGGTTAACCCAAAATGACACAAAATGACAAATAGTAGGAAGGAAAAATGTTAAAGTTTAACTTTTTTTACGACTGTCGATTTAAATTTGTCAATTTTACGTCTAACGGCTAATGAATAACTCCATCGAGACCCTTGTTTAGAAGGCTGTATTTGAAACCGTCCTGAGACCACTAATAATGAAAACAAAATGATCCTGTAGAACTTAAGTAGTAAGCTTCTTTTTAAATATACTTTTTTTTTCGTTATAAAGTGTACAAAAAATAAGGTGATTACTAAATAATTTGTTCAACAAGATCATGTACTAAAAAATATAGGTAAACGTGCTCGTTCAAGAGCAAAAGACCATCGTTCCTATTTACCTCATCCATTAAATAAAAACAAATACTATGTTCTTACAATGCGCGCGCTTGCTCACCAAATTATTTTATGCGCAATGCAGTATGTGCAATGCAGGATGCGCAGTGCAGGATGCGCTGTGCATTACAGAGGAATCACTTTTAGGAGACAATGACTAGGTAAAAGTATTTACCCTTTAGAAAGATCAAGAATTATATCCCTTGGCTTGTCTAGATCCTTGTCGATCAATACTTTCCTCATGGTTCCGTCCATTCTGCAGACTTCGATCCTTTTGGCGAAAATGTCACTCCAGTAGACGTTTCCTCCCACAGGGTCAACAGCAAGTCCATCAGCATTAGACACATTTACAGAAACGAGAACTTCTGGTGATGTCCCATTTATGAATGCCCTTCTGATACTGTTTAGGCTGACGTCTGTCCAGTAGACTCTATTGTCTGTAATGTCCATTCCAAGTGCAACTGGTCGATACATGAAGGCTCCTATCGGCAGAGCTTTGGCCAAAAAATTGGATTCATCCAAATCGAGAATGTAAATTTCGGCATTCCAGGCATCAGCAAACAGTAAGAATTTCTGAAAACCTGAACGAACAATGCTGTGAGCTCAGCGAGCTGAATACAGGCAAAATCATCATTTAGATTCACTGCAGCAACTGATACGAAATTGAAATTGAAACGCAAGAGTTTATTATTGCGGCAACTCTGACGAAAATACAAGAATTGATGTCAAGAATACCTTCATAAGATGAGTTTGAACGAAAATAATGAGAATGGAGCCAGAGTCGGGGAAAAAATTGATGAAAATCTTCTTCTCATAGTAAAGCTATTTATTTACATTATAAGAGTTTAAATAGTCAAGAATATGACTAGTACGATACAATGTTGTACGTGTCTTACTGTATGTCTGTGGGACACAGGTTTTCTCATCTTTCGACAGTTCGAGACTATCGGGGCATGCGCATTTGAATCCCTTCGGTCTCAGAAGGCAGAGATGAGAACATCCACCAGAAGACATGGAACAGGGATGGTCTAAAAGTAGAGTTAAAAGAAATATTTGTCGATTCAACATTTATAGCAAATAATCGTGAAAATTGGGCACACCTAGCAAAAACTTATGCGGAGAATATATTTTGTTGCATTATTAAGGAACGAAAGGTCAAGCGGTAGTCTCCCGGTGCGACTGATCTGGAGTTGACAAAGAAAGAAATAGCTAGAGGTTGTATCATTACATGCATGTTAAATAGCGTAATTGCTGGAGATCGTTTCATATCATTAATATGTATTGAAAAGAGCAGATGTGTAAGAGAGATAGAGAAATTGAGAAATGGTCAAGACTGATTGATACCTGGAAAAGTCTGATTCCTGTCATAGGCATGTATATCCAATGGTTGTGACAAACCGCTGACGAGAACGGTTGCATTTGACGGAGAGTCTTTTGGCGACTGATAAACAACACCCGAACTTGAATCGGTCCAGTATATTTTATCTTCGAGCAATGTCAAACCAAATGGGTTCAATAATACATATCTATCACGTAACAGAGTTGTAATCGTATGACGCTGTAAGTCGTAGTATTCCAACATATGGAACCATGCGTCCACCCAATAAAGCCTGTTATTTACACCATCTAAGGTCAGCCCATTAGGCCAGTAAAGCCCTCTTTTAACCAGTGTGCTTCTGTTGTTTCCATCCATGCCAGCGACCTCAATTTTGTGGCTGGTACCCCAGTCGGACCAGTACATAAAACTGTATTTAATTACAAAAGAGGGAATCGATTATTACAAGTTGTGAAACCGACGAGACTAAGTTCGCCACGGAGTCGACAACACGCTTCAACTTTAGTAAACTTGTTTTATAATCATTAATAGTAAGATACTCTTATTTCCCTCGACATAAAAACAAGCTTTGATTAGGAGATGACACATTCCAACATTAAACATTCTTAGAAACCATGATGAAGACCGATGAATCAGCAAAAAACGTCTCGAAATAACATCTACAGTGATACTATGAGTAAACAAAAGGGCAATTTTTTGCACCTATTCGAAACGTGCATGAAAACCAAGCTATATCGGGCAGGAGTATAAAAAGCGTGGAGACAATTCACAATGCAAGTGATCGATGAGTCGCGCTTTAGCCAGAAAATCTAGAGAGGGTAAGTGCTGTTTAGGGTTTCCAAAGTTCAGATTTCTTATTTAAGACAAAACAAAATTTTTGACCCACAAGCACTTCAAAAAAGCTGTTCCTGAGCAGTGTTAGGGATTTACATTTCGATAATTTTTACCAAATTCATTCTTTATTACCACCCTTCCCCCTCCCCCGCCCCGCTAAACTGCAAACCTGATGATAATCTTACCCTTCGTCGATATCCAAGATAATATCTCTTGGATTATCTAGATCTCGAGAAATCAGGGTTTTTCGTATTGATCCATCCATTCTGCTAACTTCAATTTTGTTAAGAGAATGATCAGTCCAGTAAATATTTCCTCCCACTGGATCAACCGCTAGCCCATAAGGATAATAAACTCCACTGGAAATGATAGTCTCTGGAGACGATCCATTAATAAACATCCTAGATATTGTATTCAAGCTTGTGTCCGTCCAATATATTCTGTCTTCTGTACTGTCGAAATCAAGTGCCGCAGGACGACTGATAGAATGTGCCATTGGTACCAATTTGGCGCTCGTGTTCGATTTGTCCAGAGATAGTGTATACATTTGGCTCAGACTTCCATCGGCGAAAAGTAATATCTTTTGAGGTACTAAAAAAAAAACCGTAAATTATTAAACCTTAGAATAGTTTAGCAAACCATCTAGTTCAAGAGGGACAGAATATTAACAGATTTACAAAAGCGCTGAAAAAATTCAAATTTTAAAACCAGAAAAAATTTACTTATTAATTTTTGTTAATGTAAATTGTATTTGAGAAGCTAAGAGGTTGAGGAGGACCGGCTTTACTATTTAGTCAACCATGTGATCTCCCTTTTCAAATACATATCTACTTCTTTCCATTCGCATTTATATCATTTCAATGATTAAAAGCTAATCCTAATGGGAGTAGCTTAGTCAATCCCTACAAAATGTTGTGCACTGTGGCATAACACCCCTGCATCTATTTCAGGTGTCAGTCTGGAACTCTAGGTCGTCCTATCAAAGATAAAAGCCTTCATTGGACGAGACCTCCTTTGCTACAAATATTAAAATGGAAAGTTGAAATGTTTATTTTGATTTTTGAAACTTTACGACGCTTTTGATAAAAATGACATAAAAAGAAAATGTGGATTATTGTATCCCTAAGGGGTTTGTGGTGCATTCAATTACCGTCAGGTTTACAGGTCCTCCCATCTTCTCCAAGGATCGAGTGACTTGGGCATGCACATTCACTTCCGTTAGGAGACAACAAACAAATATGACTGCAATCGCCAAGGCAAGAAGAGTTTCCTTCTGTTTGAAGAAAGATATCGTTTAATTTACTACATTCAGACACTAGTTTTGATGGTGAAACGATCTGGATTTTAAAAAGAAGTTTTCAGGATCGTGGAGCCATTCTTTGGGACCTTCATGATAGCCTACAAGATTCTAAAGCCAGCCATTCGGTCCTTCATCGCATAATATTTCAATGAAGTGTGTACGCTTAGGTTCTAAAGACGTGATTCGCTCATATAGTTGGGCCATTATGATTCCGTACGCACTCACTTAAAAAGGAAAAATCGCTAGTGTCTCAGGTACACTAGGGACCTCATCGACATGAATTATTTGAGGCGCGCTCCAACGAATGCAGGCTTTAGCTAGCAATACCTATCCGATATGGCAACAACAATATAAGCTATGTGGGTTCAACATTGCGGCCTGACAATCAAAGAACTTGCACGCACTTTTCGATTGTGAAGTAAACTGGATTATTCTCAGAGCATTTATAAGTAGGCAGTGCCACTGTGCGAGGTTAAAGTTTATTAACTCAATCTCACAACCACGCTGAGCGTGTGTAAATGTAGAGAACACGGGAAAGAGATGACATGAGTAAAAGGAGGAAAGCTTGGTATATACTCATGATGGGGAAACCACCTTCAATTACAAGAAAATTACGTGCGATAAACGTTAGCGAACCGGATAGCCTTCACTTTGTACTCCTCTGAGAGCGCGCCTAGATATACCGATTGGCTCATGCGCAATAGAATTATCCACTGACAATTTCCCTACGGACTGCTTTGCAACTTGTAAGAACATCGTCCCCATAACACTTGAGCGCATGTATGGGAACTAGCTTCCATCAATTCCTGAAGGAGTCACTCAAGAACTTAAAAGAGTAACACAACGACAACTTCAGTGACGCCTTCCGACGGAATAAATCTTTCAAAGACTCTTCTAGTTTGCTGAGTGGACAAACAAAAAGAGACCTAAAC